AACGCTAGCATTTTAAAACTGTGTGACTTTTTTTTTTCCTTCGCTTCCAGGTAGGAGCCACACTTGGCACTTTAACTCTGAGAATGAGCTTTTTATCTGAGTTAAATCCAAATCTGCCAGGCAGAGCACTGCGCAGCCTGGAAACATCTCTGTGTATGGCGGCGGGAATCCACCATGCTCTCCTGCCTGCCCAAGCCTGATTCTGCCTTCTGCCCAGGCAGGAAGAGTTGAGCCACGGGCATGGTCTTAGCTTCTTTCCTCCTGATCCTGAGTGGACACTCAAACACCCAGGCCCACAATTGCACCATGGCTGAGTTTGCACTGTCGGCAGGGCCCAGGAAGCCGTGTTTTAAAACCATGCAGCTTTTTTTTTTTGTATAGCTGCTGAATCAGGAAATCTCTCTGCAGTGCACCCCCTCGCAAACAGCAAAACTGTGTTAAACTCTGTTTGTGTGTGTGTGTGTGTGTGTGTGTGTGTGTGTGTGTGTAGAATTGCTTTTCAAGCCCTCTCAGGTTTTACGTGGAGTTCCTTACCATGTTGGAGCACCACTCTGTTGTAGTGAGAGAGGCATGCTGCGTTCCAGCCCGGTTCCTGGCTGCCCAGCTAGCTCACACCCAAAATAATTACACAGAAACTGTATTCATTTAAAACACTGCCTGGCCCATTATTTCTAACCTCATATTGGCTAACTCTCACATCTTAATTAATCAATTTCTAATAATCTGTATGTCACCACAAGGCCGTGGCTTACTGGGAAAGATTCAGCATGTCTGACCTGGCTGCTGGCTCCATGGCGGCTCTCTCTGCCTGCCTTCATTTTCCCAGAATTCTGTTCTGTCTACTCTACCCACCTAAGGGCTGCCCTATTAAATGGCCAAGGCAGCTTCTTTATTCACCCAGTGAAATCAACACAAATGCAGAAGGGCCTTCTACACCAGTATTGCCAATCCCCATGGAACAGAGTTCCATGTACCATTGCTAATGTTGGAATTGAGAGAAGTATAGAATGCATGACTGAATGTCTCGAAAGCTTTCTAAGGCAGGAGTTCAATCTCTGGCTTTTGCCCTGTAAAATGCAATCAGATTTAACATATTTGAGGAGGCTGGGGGATGTGTTTGGTATTGTGAACTTTTCACCATGAAGTGATTGGCTTCACGTGACGATATTTTTCTTAAGCATAACATTGGATCACAAATTCCATGAGAACAGGGTCTTAACCTTGTTTCTTAATTAATGATGCTGAGTAATAGGCTTTAATATTTGTCAAATAGCAGTGAATTCCACATAATGTATGAATTTAAACCATAAACCCAGACTGCAAAGAATAAATACTTGCCTTTTACTTAACAAGGAAGGACATATGATTTCTAGCACTTCAGCATCCAGAAACTGAATTAGTATCCAGGACCTTGTTATCTTATTATGCCGCCTCTGATAGACCCCCCTGCTCCTACCCTGCTAGACATGTCTTATCCCTTCCTTTCCAAAATGAAGTTCTCTCTATTCTCGGGCTGACCAATTGCTTATCCTTCCTTATCCTTCTAAGGATCCACCCCCACAGAACTACTCATGTTTGTAAATTTAGAGTATTTTCTTCCTCTTTACACTAAAATTTCCCCCTTTTCCTAGTCCTTGGAGAGGAGAAATGTCTGTTCTCACATACCTCCGGATCCACACTAAAGGAACTAAGTATCTTCATTTTCAGCTCTTACCCGAGGTCTTTTCTTTACGGTCTGTGTGACTTGGCATTGTGATAAACGCCATTGTTGCTTGCACATTGTTATCACGGTTCTTGGAAATTTTGTTCTCAATAACTCAATCCCATCTTTTGGGAGTTTCACTCTCATGTGATCGTAGCTAATAAGCAGTTAACAGGAGAGAGGAGGCTTGTGTAGAAGGGCAGGACGTGTCTCCTTTTCCTTTAAGTCATCTCAGCTGCGTCGTGTTACAACAGGCCGGAGACGCATAGAGAAAATGAAAATGATCCCTTCCTTCAGTCAGAAGGACTCAGACTTCATTTTACTTTTCTAACAAACTGAAACTAAGGCCCCAGATCCCATAGCTGTACGTGGCAGAGGTTTCAGGGCTGCGCAAATTAACATAAAGCATAAAATATACTTTTTGACTTTAATCAATTTAGATATGATGTCCCTTGGTATATAGTTGACTGTAGGGCTCACATGAGGGAGCTCACATTTTCTCTCTTATTGTATTCACCGGTATTTGATCCTTTCCTCCAACTTGCAAGATTCCTTTTTTTTAAAGACTTTTTTCTTTTATTTTCGAGATTATAATATAGTGACATTATTTCCCCTTTCTTTTCCTCCATTCACGTCTTTCCATATACCCTTCCTTTCTCTCTTTCGAATTCATAGCCTCTCTTTTCATTAATTATTGCCATGTGCACATGTTTGTGCATATATACATATGAGCCCAGAAAACACACATGCAAACTTTTGTTTCTAATTTGAGTGCCACTAACATTTAAAGGACTGTTCAGATTGACTCATTGGCTTAGCAGTACCCATACTCCCAGGCCCGTGCCCTGGAGTCCCCGACATCCAAAGGGAGAAATAAGGCAGACAGACTGTGCCACCAAGGCAGGGAAAGAACAACTCTTTGTGAAGAGTCTGCTGTGGACCAGGAGCCCAGAGGGCTAGGAGCTCTATGTTAACTTTACATCTCTCCATTTTCTCCTCATTACCACCCAAAGACAATGGTGCTACTGAGTCTACACCAGCAAAGCCAAGGTGATGAGAAATGCAGCTATTTGCAAATGACTGACAGGTGTGAGAGATGCAAGTCTTGGCTGCTGGCTCTCTGTATCTAACCTTATAACTACTTTCATTTCCTTAGGCTCCTCTCGGCAGAGGAGAACAATGAGGTGAGGTCAGGTGGCTTGAAGCATGTGGTCTGTAGTGGCTCCATCAAGGCTCTGACCACTTACCACCATTCTCCCTGTGGGATGCTGCTTAGCAGGACCTGGAAGGGTCTAAGAGCCTTACCCTCCTGTACTCCTTTTCCATCTGCAATAATGAGCCACATGTCCGCCACGAAATTTATTCAAGGGGCAGAATTTTTCCTACTTTTCTTCATTGAGGTCCTTTCTCTTGCTCCCCTTCCTTTCTCCCTCCCCCTTCTCTTTCTTCTCTTCCTCTTTCCTCATCCCTCCTCTTTGCTTTCATGCTTCCTTCTTTCCTATTCTTCCTCTTGAGTCTTTGGGTTTTATGCTCCTCAGCTATAGTTACTACTTTGTACGGCATAAGACATTTCCTTCAACCAGCACTGAGACATGTTGGTAACTCCCCATTATTGGTTTCAGGGTCATGACCTGAACTGTGCCCTCATGGACTTTGCACCCTTGTGAGGAGAGAGGCAATTAAGGCTACCTACAGTGCAGTTGGTCTCTCCTAGGCTGTAATAGAAGATGTTATCCAGGTAAATACGCAATGAAATTCCCAGTTAGTCCTGGGGCTTGAGGGTGTTAGGGGAACTTTCTTAGAGATCTGATACTTAAGCTGACCTGAGACTACAGATGTATCCTCTGTGATGAACTCACACTTCCTGTTAGTTTTAATGACAACAACAACAACCTCTCTCAGCTTTAATTCATTTAAGTCTATGAGAATCTTGACATCTTTCATTTGCCCCAATGCATCTACCAATCCATCATTTTCTACAGGTTACATTTTAGGACTGTGTCTCTAGTCACTCTCCCTTCACCCACATTATTGAAGACAGACCTTGTTCTGACTCCTCCTGCCTTTCCAAATACAAGTCTGTTATCTCACTGGCCAAACTCTCACAGTTCTTCACTTGTTATTCTTTACCTCTGTTCATAGGTCATTTTGGACTCCAGTGCAGTTAGAGATCCCTCTGTTTTTGTCTGCCAAGACAATTGCTCACAATATTGAACAATACAGGATTGGATAGACTGAGGCAGCAAGATATTGGAGTCACTGTTTTTGTTCTTTCCATCCTTTTGACAGTAGTTTTCCAAAGAAGAAATCAAACTTGTTAATGGATTTTGCTCATCAGTTATTGCTTCTTTGGTGTTTCTGTGCCCATGGTCATCTGGATTATCTTCCATGATGTATTTCAAGGCTGTTGCTGCATAGTCTGTGTTCTGTTTGGAGCTGGTTTTTGTACAGATGTGAGGGTTACACTTGTGAATGCAGCCTGTGGAGGTGGTGTTCCAGACCTGCTTGCTGAAAAGACCATCTTTCCTTCATCGTAGTCTTACCTCACTGTCAAAAACTAGCTGACTGAGTAAGTGGATCTGTGTTCAGCACACTCTCTAAACACTCAGCTACCCTTACAGTAAGTAGAGGCTAAGGAGTTATCTAATAAAGACAATGGATAGTGACTTGTAGGCAGAAGGACTGTTTTTTTTTTTTTTTTTTCTTTCTGAAGCTGAGGACCTAACCCAGGGCCTTGCGCTTGCTAGGCAAGCGCTCTACCACTGAGCTAAATCCCCAGCCCCAAGGACCATTTTTTTAAATTAACCAATCAGCTTTGACACACTCTGTCTCCTTCTATCTGAAATGTGGGCATAAAGGCTCTGGTTCCCATGATCATCTTATTAAGTTGAGTCAAATCAAGTTGAACAGAAAAAGAAGAAAGATCTCGGGAGGCAAATGAAATCCTCAGTTATTTAAACTATTTCAAAGTTTTCAGAACATGTTTACTGGAGAACACTTTCCTAAATTGAACACACGTGTGTAATTATGCAACGCGGGCCCCTTCAGTTGATCAAATATCTCACAGGTTTTCCCAGAGCTTTGTTTCAGAGTCCCTGGGCAGATGGCCTTCTGCCTGCCCACTTCTCTGCCAAAAATACTGATCAAATTGAGAAAGGAATACTTTCTGAGTTTCATGCTCTTTTTTCCTTTTAAAAAGAAAGAAATGCTTTTTTTTGTTACATCTTTATTGTGAATTTCCCTTAACAAAATTTATTGATAATTATGGAAACATGCTTTTCTCTTTGTGTGCAGATTTCAGATTGCTTTATCTGCATTCCCCATCATTTTCCTAAGACTATAGGCATTTCCTGAAGAAGCATTACTTCATTATTTTGGTATCATTATCTCTTAATCATCTTCATAGGTTGACTTTGCAGACTATATTGCCCCCAAGACATGTTTTGTGTGTTTGTGCATGTGTGTGTGTGTTTATGAGACAGATTTTTTTTAACTTTTATCGATTCTTTGTGAATTTCACATCATGTACTCTGATCTTCCTTATCTCCCCGTCTCCTTGAACCTGCCCTCTGCCCTTGCAACCTCCCCTGCAAAAACAAATTTGAAAGAAAAACTAAAAGTCAAACAAAACAAAGGAGAAGGGGAAGGAGCGGGTTGTGTTTGGGATGCGAAATGAAGAAACCAGAAAGGCTGGGGTTGAGAGGAAGAAGGCCTAAAGAAGGGGGATGTGCCGAATGCTGGGGGTGAGGCCTTTGTGGAGCTGTCCCAGCTGGCTGGGCCTGAGCCCCAGTAGTGGAGTGGCCACCTGGGACCTCAGGCCGTTGACCATCCTGGATCCTCATCAGACCCCACAGGGATGGAGGTTGTTGGTTTCCATGGCAGCACGAAGTAGAGCAGAGAACACTCTGGAATAGGGCACTTCCAGAATAGGGACAGTAACTCTTAGGGGTCAGGGTCTGAAAGAGGACCCTTGGTTTGTCTGCATTGCCATCATCCCCCCCCCCCCCGCCCCCAAACCTGCCCAGGCCAGGCGGGAAGCTGTGGGCTGTTTGTAGGTGGGTGTGTGTGTGAAGCAGCTCTAGCTGGGACTGTGGGAACGTGGGACTTTGGAGATTCTTGTGCCCCAGTGTCTTGGGGGTAAACAATAAAGATTTGGGGTTTTTTTGGGGGGGAAAAGGAACAAAATAAAATGAAGAAAAAAAGAAAGGAAAAGAAGAAGACTCTTCTCCTGGAAGATACACTGTGGCCCATGAGTCACAGTTCACCCTTTAGTCCACTCATCTTTACTTTCAAGTACTCTTTGCCACGAGTCATTGGCCATGCTCCAGACCCCTGGTTTCTTCCCCACCACTAATAATGGGTTCTCAGTGGGGCTCCTCTTGGATATCCTGTTGTTGTCCTGTGTTGTGGAGATCCTGGCTTTTTAGCTCTGTACATTCATCCCCTTCATATGCTCCAGCAATTCCTAGCTTTGTTGGATGTTGTGGTGGGTCAACACATAGCCCTGCTCCTGGAGCCTGGGTGGTAGCTGGATGGGTCAGCCCACCAACTTTCCCTCATCATCACGTCCCAAGCCAGCTCTGCAGCACTGCACGGACCAGCTCATCCACTGCAGCGTACAGCGAGGAGCTACAGTCTAGCAGGGAGAGAGGGCCAGGTTTCCTACTCTCAGGCCCTCAGCTCTGGGCCCCCACATTCGCATCACTAGGGCCAGTTCTATTGTTCTGCTCGTGCAAGATGCAGGGTTCTCTCTCGTGGTTGCTGTAGTGTAAGGTGAGGTCTCAGGGTCAGTTCTCCTGCTCCCACGCCCTCACAGCTGGCTCACGCCCACTCTGACAACAGGGTCAGCTCTAGTGTGCTACCCAGGCAAGGTGGAGGGCCAGCTCTCCTGTGTGCTGCAGCCGCTGTGAGGCGGGGCTAGTTCTCTCACTCTTGTGACCTAGAGCCACCTCTCTTGCCTGCCACAGGTAGCAAGATGGCCCAGACAATCTTATGTGGCTTTGAATGCTGCAAGTTATTTATAGAACTGTAGGTAGAGTTTCCAGCCAACCGTTCCTTATGAGAGGACATAGAGAACAGCATTCCTGTTTCCTCAGTCTAAGTGCAGGCATCTTGTTGCACAAGTGGGCGGTTATATAAGTTGTGACACAGCAGGGTACAGTTGGGGCATGCTACCTGGCAGTGGCCCTCCTGAAAGTTTCAGTTTCCCAACAAGGCTTGTTCTGCTGCTCGCCTGGTACAAATGAGTGGGGAGGCTCATAGCCAGAGTGAGCAGGAAGCCCAGACTGCTGGAAAAAGGTAACTCCTGCCACAGGTAATGCCAGCTCCTGTAGATGCCTCGTCACTCTTGCCTTCTGAAGCGAGACTGTGACCTATTTGTCTTTGGAATGTTGACTACCAGCCAGCTTGCAATTCTGGCTTAATTGCTAAAGGGGAGGCGAGGCTTTATCCTAGGCATATAGAAGGAGGGTATCTATTGTAGCTCTGCAGGGACACACAGGCAGCTAAAGATTTTGCTTGACTTGGGAGCCAGTTCTGCCTCTGTAAGATTAGCCTCCCCAGAAGCATCATGGGTATTTGACCATGAGATGTATCAGGCAGAGACGTGTAGCAGGATGTTTCCATCATCACAGAAATTAATTTGTGGTAATGCTTATTTATAAAACATATACCAACATGAGCAATTGATAGTTTTTGACTCCTTTTCATACCCTAATCCCAAACTAAACATCCTTGTTTCTCTTTAAACAAGGAAGGAGGATTTGTTTTGGTTCATGGCTTGCAGTTACAGAGACTCATGGCAGGGAAAGCATCACAGCTGGGCTTCATTCATGGTGGCAGGAGACTGCGGTGTGGTTTCACTGTATACCACAGAAGATCGGGAAGCAAAGGGCCTAGAACCAGAAGCAGGGTCAACATGGAACCCTCAAGGATCCCCTCCCCTCAATCAATCGCTTCTGCTAGCCACTTTGAGAACACTTCGATTGGCAAGAGAGGTGTCATCTTTAAGACTCTCATACAGGAAGTACAATCAGCCACCCCCAGTGTTGAGACTGCCGTTCATATATACATCTGTGCCTTCAATTCCAAGTTTTGGTTGCCATCACTGAGACAGAGAATGGCATCTTTTAAAGTAGATAATGTTAGTCAACATTATACCTTAAAAGACAAGAATTAGATGAACATTGAGGTGGCTATGAACCAGCAGGGATAAATGTCTCACAAATCACAAATGCTGTGAAATTGCCGATAGGGATCACCAGGAAATTCCAAAAAGGAAGTCATTAAAAAATGTCTCATTATTATGGTAGAAATGTAAAGAGCTGTCTGTGAAACAGAGAAAGTTCATAAAGTTTGGGCGTAATTTGTGGTACGGGTGATGATTAGCAAGGGTGTCACTGCCAAAAGGAAGATCTCTAAGATTATGCTGTTCGGCTTCACTCTTGGCTCTGCCTTTACCTTTTTCTTTATATTAGTGACTTAGAAATACTAATAACAGTGGCGATCAAGGTAGCCAATGACATGAACCCATGAAGGGTAGCAACTTCACTTTTGGAAATACCACTGGAAAAACAAACCTTTTACCATGGAGTATGATGAACTGACATCTGAGCTGAGAGCTAGGTCTGCTTTGGAATCCTAAAGGCGCACCGCAGATGCAGAGCAGAGGAACTCGTGCCTTAGAAACAGTATCTGTGGGTATTTTAATAAACATATTTGTAAGACGTCATGTGGATGCCAACATACTTAGTGCTCTCTTGGGCTGTAAGACACACATACGCTCTGGATATGTTTCCAGCATTAGCTACGCATTTGAATCACTAAGGAGAGTTAACAAAAGTTTGGAATACCTCGTCAAGGTGCATTTTGAGAATGCATTTTGTTTTCCTTTTGTTTCTTCAAAATCAAGTTGGAAGAGCCATCTCAGCTGCTAAGTCTTTGCATCTTAACAACTAACTATATGTCTATGTAACAAAGAAGAGTTAGGTCACTCAGGAAAGTAATAGGCTTACCTAAGCATTATTGACATACCTGCAACATACTGGGAAAACCCAAACTTGAAGAAAGAGGTTGAAGACCAGTACCTAACTGGCACCGTTCTTGTGTGGATTAAGAGAGACTTTGGCATGAGGCAGCTAAGGTGAAGTCTTAACTTTGTGTCTTACTGTTTATGTGACATTGAGAAGGTGGTTTACTTTGTCAGGTTTTTTCTTCAATGTTGAAGAGGAAGTTGGCTCGAAAGGATGTTCACAGAACCGTGGTGATGAAGTGGTGTTCAAGGAGGTTTTGTAAATTGCTAGGTTCAGTTTGCGCTTGTTTCTTGCATCCCTGAATGTAATTGCTTTGGCAGAATGACCGGTGAGATCTGCCTCAGTTTACTCCTAATGCCGAGTCAGCCTCACCCTTTCTGCTGCTTCAGTTCTAGCTCATCTTTTTTTCCGTACTGCCTCCTTCCTTCGTTGTTTGCTTATTTGTCAGTTTGCACAAACGTCCAAAATTTTCAACCTGTGTAAGGAAATTGGCCCTTAGCCACGATAGTGCTCTAATTTTCTCCATCCCGTTCCGTTGAGGCCGTATTTTCCTGCACTTCTCTTCTGGATTGATGTTTGTCTCATTCTTAAGTTGTATTACAGTGTCGTCATCCACGGCTTCTGGATGAACAGCACGCCCAGCTCTCCCCAGTGTCATCATGCTCAGTCTCCTAAGATTGGATTTCCTTGAAGTCACATGACACTAAACCAGCGAGAAATGGATCTCATCCCTGCTCCCGTCAGAAACCCAGGCTTACTGAGAAACTGGAACCAGATCACTTTGTGTCCAGTAGATTTCCACATGAGGAATATATGTTGGGAGTCCCTGAATGTTGTGCAAACCACACGCTTTACTTGCTCAGTGCTGATCCTTTGCAGACTCAGGCTCAGCTCGTCCCCTGTTGAAATAAGAGCGGCGGGGCTGCGTCCCCAACACCCCAGCCGCTTGGCTAGCTCATGCCCGAAATAACAACACACAAACTGTATTCATTTAACTGCTTGGCCCATGAACTCTAGCCCTTACAGGCTAATTCTCGCACCTGGACTAGCCCATTTCTA